GTGGGTCACATTAACAACATTGAACATGCAGTGATTTCAGAGTAGATGGCAGCCCCAAAGGTAGTGTATCTGGATCCCATGTAAAAGACATCATGGGTTTGTGGAATTCACTCTGATACCACTGTACATCCAACTCTAACGGCCACCTTCTAATCAGTACGACGGATCCAGCCGATTCTCGATATGGGTGGGTCACCTTCATAAACGCCGTGCCCCGAGCAGCTGAACAGGCGCATCGTCGCCTGTTCACCGGCCTACAGGGTGGCGTGGTGGTCGCAGGGGCGCTCATCGCGGGGGTTTTGGGGCTTTGGAGGACCGGCAGTAGGACCGGTGCAGCTTCATGTTTGAGGCCCGAGCGACTAAAGCACCGATGTTTTGAGGAATGTGAGGCCAAGTCGTCGAACAAGACCTTCACTTGGGAGAGGGGTTTGGATGCAGAGCGGAGCTGCGGGGTGGTGGGAGGAACCTCTCCCAGACCAAAGGTGAGACCGCAGCCACCGGAGTTCCATGATGACCACAGAAGTGAAAAGAAAGGAAGCATGAGCTACAGACCAAGACACCAGAAGAAGAGCTCAATTTATTTATATATATGTATGTATGTAAATGAGAAAAGCTCAGTAGCTCGAGTCCACGCTTCCTCACCAGCTCCTAGAATTTCTTGATGCAGGAAGTTGGAGATTGCAGTATTTGGGCATGCCGAGGAAATCCCGTTTCGCTCGAGTTATCAGCTTAACTCACATGTGATCACACATGTGTGAGGGTGTCAGCTGCAGCGTGACCCACAGTAGTTGTTCGAAGCTAGTTGATGATACATGACGATACCATGTGGAATCTATCTCTTCCTGGACAAATCAGCTTCAAGATGACCGGGCCCGTCGGTTTCGTACCCGGTACCTGCGCCGCTCCACGCATACGAACGCTCCGCTCCGAGGTTTGGGACACAACGAGCTTGCCCTTGAAGCTCCTCTGCAGCATTCCCGACGGCTCCCAGTCACTGAGCAGGCGCCGGACCCATGAGTTGGGGAAGGCCATCGCTGAGAGGTCATGGCCGGCATGATGAATGCTCATACAGTGGAAGTGAACTTGGGAAAAAAAGGACCAACACCTGAGATTCTGAGATTGTGAAGGCGCGCCTATATACAGTATTATATATACAGTATTGAGTTGGTTGCGGGGTTTGAGATTGAACTTTTCATTCTTAGGCGGACAGACTTGGTCCGCCTCGCTTCAAGAGTGGACCAGCAAGTGACTGGTGGAAAGCTGTGGCAGGAGCTCATCCTTTCATAGAGCTCCGATGTGACCTGCGGAAAGGTAGGATTTCCAAAGTGTCCACAGCTCGTGCCCTCATTTGTGGAGTCAAACGAATTGAATACATGTTCTGCAAGTGGTTGCCCTTCATAGTACACATTTCCGGAGCAATTATGTCAGCCTGCCTGTTAGCCGTTCATTTTGGTGCCTTTGCCTGCAAGATGATGCTCGCAAACCTGGGCTCCAGGTAGTACACAATCCTTGTCGCGGTAGCCACGCCCACATGCAACGGGATCCTTTCTGAAGCTGACGAAGCCAACCCCTTTGTGGCATCTCACATCCACTTGACTGCTTGCTGACCACCTCCCTTGAAAGCGATAGGACTATGAGCATTATGAGCAGCCCGGAATTGCTCTAAAACGAAGTGTACGGGTGATGCAGAGAAATCACAAGGCCAATTGGGACGCACACCAAATCCCTTGCAAGGGTGGATGTTTTTTGCATAATCCCATCAAGTATGCTAGAGTCAACTCTTTGTATGCAGTGCGTCCCCGGCAAAGTTTTCAGGATTTATGTGGGGTACATTAGTAACATAATTTAATTTGCTAAATTCTTGGGGTCTTCACCCGATCTCCCTCCAAGGGAGTGCAGGCATATACGTGCACTTCTAAATATCAGTAAACATTTATCACTTGCCAGGGTCCGCACATGATGTCAAACAACCAAGAAAGGTCTCCAAGAGAAAACACACAGAAAAGAAAGAAACGTGCAGCAAACCATGTTGCCCATTCCTCATCATTTGTCTCCTGACCACCTGCACAGGGTTCACGCCTTGGACTATGAAGCCAGCACTGGAACGTCCGGGAGACCTGTGGGCCAGTGCAGCTGAGACCATGAGTGTGGGAAGGGCTGGTGCGAAGCGGAAAGATTCGGAGCATTCAGATTGGATTTCTTGAGGTTGGTCAATATTTTTTGTGATGTTTAAAACAAAATATATATATAATATGTTTGCGTCAGAAATTGTGGATCTTTGGTGCGGGATCTTTTCTTCACATCCGGCACCTTATTCTTCGAGCTTCAAAGCATCTATAGTCTATAGTACTTTAGTAGGCTCAGCTTGTCAGGAACATATCTCAATCTTCAACAGCCCTTCCCTGCTTCAAGTTGTTGAGCATCCCAACCGGCCTTGGCAAATCCAAATCGCAAACACGGCCTCCCAAAGCCTGCCTGGCCTACTTTGGGCTCAAGCTGCCTCCGTGAAGGTACAAAAATAGGGTTCAGACCAGGGGGTTAGCCATCCAAACTGCATCCCAGGCCTGCCGCATCGGGGCGGTTCAACATCGAAAACAATGTGTGGAATCGGTATGAATCGGTCCTGTTCTGATGTGGCAGTTTCTGCGGTTGGCACTAGGAAAGCAAGTAGATTGACAGTTAGGAAAGGGATTAACAAGATCCACTATAATCCATTATAGCCTTAGCCATTTATAGACCACTGACGACAACCACAATTTTGCATGATTTCGCATCTCGACAGAACATGTTATCTAAGGATCTCACCATTTTGTGCTCACCAGGCGGGTGTTTAACATGCCCACGGCCCCATGGCATGTTGCGACCACATTTGCTTTGCTCATCCGCCATCCAGGACGCCATGGACTCGGAGGACAAGAACCATGGACCGACCTTCAGCCTCGAGATGCTGAAAGATCCCGTGCCTCGGCCGAACAAAAACGCTGGGCCGCCTGGCACCTGGGGGCTTGGGGGCTTGGTCTTTTTTCTTGGGGATCATGTATCCGGTAACTGGGATCCTTTTCGACAAGGCCGTTGAATGTACTGGTTAGGTGATGTTAGGTGCACAACTGAGTGTTCCCGTATGTTTATGTTGGAGCTGGATTCCCACATGCCTGCTTAGGCTGAAACACTCGCAGAAATGGGCTATTCATACTATATAGTTTCCAAGGCTCAGAAGGCCTCCTGCGTGAGCCTTCGGAAAGGCAGGGCGAGCCAGGTGGGTAACCTTCATTGGTTTGACACATCATTTGCCGAACTTAGAATGCACTTAGACCCCTATTCAAGATGTATAGTCTTACAGATGGGTGCTATGTAATCTATATACAGCTTCTGGACTGCCACACACTTCGGATCAAATCAATCAATAATGGAAGGTCCAGCAAATTCATTCCCGCATCATCCCGGATCCATTTCAGTTTATTCAGTCCAAATGCAGGCATATCAGATGTCCATGTCTGCAAGCTGGTATACTGTATACTTTCATAAGAGGCAGATATACTGCTGCCACGCAGCCTGAGGAAAAGCTGAAGTTCTTGGCGATGAAGCTACTCGACACGAGTTATGACATTTGCATCAAGAGGTGGCAGATCATGTTCAAACGATTCGTGTAGGCTTGTTACGACCTTTTCGACCCCTTCTTGGCCTGTCCCACATGCACCACCTACTAGAAACGGACACAGAACACACCTCCCCGCAATGGAATGGCCTTGGAGGTAGTGTGATGCCCTGAGAAGAATCATTTCCCATCACCATCACCATCACCATCATCATCATCATCATCAATTGATGCAAGGTCCCATTTACAGGACATGGGTTGCATTGCCCCTGCTACACTTACCACCTAGCACCAGCATATTTTGTCATCGATACACTTTATCCCAGGCATTGGATATAGACACGGCCCAATCTTGCTATAGCTTTCAAGCCTGGTGCTTTCGGAGGTTGAGTGTGGGTCCAAATGTGAGCTCCGCAGTTAAACAGAGTGCCCAGAAGGTTTCACCGGCGTGTTGATCTTTTGCATTGATGTTTGTGGGCACCGTTTTGAGGACCAGGACAGAAATTCTCTACTCCCAGCTGGGGCATCCAAGGGGGTTGTTGAGATTTGGGCAAGGTGAAGGACTCTCATGTTCTTCTTTGTTTTCAAGATTGTTCAAACATGTTTGCACCGGGAAACATGAGACAATCATAGACAAGCATTTTGGATACAGAGTTTCAAGTCAGCCCAGCTCCTTTGGCCACTTTCCCGTACCATGCCCACTTTCAAGTTCATTTGCTCCGTCTTTTACCTGTGGAGACTTGCAGGTATTCACAAACTGAAGCTTTCAAGCTGCTCAGCCGCATGGTATTCACCATGAAGGTCCACTCCCTGCCAGGAAAACGACGTTTTGATTGAAGAACAGATGCCGCTGGGAGAGAGTTATATAAGAGAGGCCCAGAGGCAAGCTCCCTTATTGGGACGAAGGGGTTTGCAAGTGGAATGAAACAGAATACAAGAACTAACGCACATAGTTTTTCGTTGAGGCCAGCAAGTTGAACACATCGCGTGTGGGTGGAGCTGCTTGAATCTTGAATACGTTCCTATTTTTGAGAGCTTGTGTTGGTGTTAGCCAGGGGGAAATAACCCCTCGGAAAGTGTGGAACGTTTGTTCTATTTGAGCTGGCTGGTGGGAATGAGATCTCTATCCAATCCCTCTCCACTCATCCCTGAACCATTTCCAAGAAGAGGATGATTCTCCACAGGGACCGCTTTTCAGACGCAAACTTGGACAGACCAAGCCTCGCCTCCCTGAGGATTTGGGGTGGTTTTGTCGTCATCGCCTTTGTGGTCTTCATGCTCGTCTCCAGCGGGGATTTCTCCTTCCTTTTGCGGCTTGGCAGGGAGCCACGACTGGCACCGTTTTCCTCAAGTGCGGCTGGCACTTGTTGGCCACAAGACCGGTTTTTGGAGCGAACTGTTTGATAAATTATGGAGTCATGGCCCTGATGTCCTTCAAAACCCTTTAAAACAAATCAAAGTGAACGCATGGATACCCAGTCATATTGTGTTGCATTTTGCGGAAGATTGGATTTTCACCAGCGAAGTGTGTCGTGCAAAATCGCAACATTTGGCTCTAAACAGTACCAGTAACAGCTGTGTGATATCCATCGGCACCAGGCCGTCGGTACTTCGCAAGCCATGGGGTGTTCGAGCAGCACCCACCTGAGTGGCCAATCCAAAGTACCCTGGTGGTGTTTAGATTTGCATGTTCATATTATATAGGTAGCGTAGCGTCCTGGCATAGCGAAAGGGCATCCCGCACTCGACCACCTGGTGGAGCTTGAGTGACCATTTTGTTTTGAGACCAGGATTGTAGGACCGGACGGGACAACAAATGTATATGCGACAACAGCCCTGATTGTTTGCATCAGTCATCATCAGACGTCCAAAGAGGGAAAACACAACATACACACAAATAGCACAAGACGACTTGCCCAGTTGTGGCCAGGAAGTCGTCATTCACTTTGATGACACCAATCTCCAGCCTCGACGCTTGAAGAAGACACACGAAAGCCCCAGCTCCCCATCGAGCTTTAAGAGTCAGCCCTCTACGACACATAGCTTGCGGAGCAGGCTTGGATCGTTGAGCTCAGCAGGAACAGCAGCAACAGGAAGCAGCAGGAGGCGGTCTGTCTCATTCAATGAGGTCATTGTGCATGAGTTTGACGTGGATGAGGTGGACTTGGACCTCGATGAGGTCGTGTCTCCCGAGGAGACCTTGAAGATCTTCTTGCGGTCGCTGGAAAGGGCACCCATCTTTCTTGAACAGAAGGTGGACGCCAAGCGTCGAAGAGATTTCGGAGTTCTTTGACGGCTTGAAGAGCCGAGGTTCAGGGGCTTGGACTCTTGCTCACTGGGCCGTCGGCTGCATGCCTGCGGCCGACTACTGAACTGGAGGTTGCTGCCGAAGGGTAGCTTTTCCACCTCGAAAGTTCCACTTGTCGTTGCGGCATTTGATTCCTGATGTGCCAGGCTCAGTGACTGGCCCACCAGAATTACATTCAATACAGCTATTGTGTTTGTTTTCTCTCATGTCGCTTAGGTTGTCCACCCAAGGCTCAAGAGTGCAATGGGAATGCCGGACTTTCCCCCAGGGTGGCTCCCGAAGTGAGAAAAGGGTGCTGGAAGAGTTTGCGCTTTTCGAGTTTGTTGCTTCATTTTGGCATGGCGCTAGCCGCTGGCACAACCCTCAAAGCTATGCAGAAAGCTTGATACGGATCGCACAGGTCCGCTTCAAGCGGAACATGAGGCTGTCGATGATACTCCCGGCCCCAGGGGTAAGTTGTACAATAGCCCCCAAAAAGGGAGCCGGGACTGTCATGTTTCAGTCTAGATGTGTCGGCGATAAAGGGATAAAGCAGTGGATCCACGGGGTTTCAGTTCAGGCTTTTGTCGGAACTATCGCAAGGTAAATTCGGCAGGAGTTCGCGGAATTTTATATATGTGTGTGTGAGTGTTTTTGGTGTGTGTGTGTGTCATGTTTGTTGCGTGAGTATGTCAGCTTTGTCACTTCATTGAGAGCCAACGTGAGAAACATCCAACAGCGCTGTCCGTTGAGTTTGTTTGGCTCCAACAATCGCGTGTGCCAGAATTGTGTCAGCAGGGCGAGTTGGGAGTTGGACGGGCCGTGCGCAGCGCAATGGGGTGTTCAAACAGTGTCCACCTGAGCATTCACGAATCTTGGTCACTCTTTAAAGACCACAGTCGTTTCGGCGCACCTGATGTCACCGGAAACGCGGTCGATTGGCTTGCAATGGTTTGCCAATCCCTCCTAGAATCCTCAGTTGATCTGGCCAAAAGGCCACTGTTTTGCTATGGTGCTTGTGTTTTTTTTTCTTGGGACCTGAGGTACAACGATGTGCGAGAGAAAAGCTCCCTTTCTCACATACATGCCCTGAAATCATTGTCAAACATGCTGCCCAGTATTGCCCAGTAGAGTAGCGCAATATAGCGCAATGCATTTCCAAGTCCGGTAGTGGCACGGCCCATCTTAGGCAGTGCAGACTGCCCAGTAGAAGAGCAATACATGCATAACGTGCATACCCTGCCAGTTCCCATATGAAAAGAAGCCACCCAGGAAGACGTCATTGAACATCACGATGGCAATCTCCACCTTCGACACCTGAAGAAAGCACATCCAGTAGAAACTGCCAGCGTTCAGAGTTCCAAGAGCATTGTCGCCACCACCAGATCCGGAAGCTCTTTGGGCAGCATGAAGAGGCAAGTCTCCTTCAAGGAAGTCGTTGTGCTGCATGAGTTTGATGCGGAGGAGGGTAAAGGCGACGACTCAGAGATCACCCCCGAGAACGCCTTTCAGATGTTCTTACTTTCGCTTGAGAAGTGCCCAGACTATTTAGAGCTTTTGGTGGATGCCAAGCGTCTCCGAGACTTTGGGCCGAGCGAACAGTGAGCGCGGCCAGCGCGATAGGATGTTTTGACTGCTCGGGTTGCTGCACGCTTTCAGGCCGGTTTTCCACCCAGGCAGGCGGTTTAATAGCCTAGCCAACATAAATATTGCCATGGCCAAAGTGGGGTGAGTTAGATGCTTTTTGTAACTCAAATGGCCCTCGTTCCGTCCCTGGGATGAGCACCGGGAGACCTGAAATCCTAGTCACCGTCATCAAAGATATATAGTCATGTCAAAGGCGGGGCAAAGGGACCAAAAAACCCTTGCCCTGTCTTTTGCTCTTCCAGACGACGCGACGAGGGTAGCACCAGAGAAGTGTTTTATGCAGAAATCCCCAGTTTTTTTTGGCCTAGTGCATGAAGAAGTCCTTGCACAAAAGGCGGGAATCTTCGGAATGTATCGATCTTTCGATGCAGTGAGGACATCCAGAGTCAACTCTCTGGATGGGGTCACAAATCGGTACCCAGTTTACATCACCTACAGGATGAAAATCATTGTGATCAAAATGTTTCGGACAAAAACAAGGTCCTTGAGAACCGATTCTTGACCTCCTGCCGTCTTGAAGTCTTTTAAAGTCTTGCTAGAACACATGCCAAGCTTGAAAGGTGACAAGGGTCTTGCACATGCGCCAGGTGATGGGCCCTCGTCTGCGATGTCTCCCTTTCCTACCGACCTGTGTCAACCCATTGACCTGCATAGGCCATGGGAGTGCCCTTATCAAACACAATGCTTTCTTAAAATTGATAAACTCATTTGCCAGCAGGATCACAACAAAACACTCGAATCCGTTGCGGAACTTTCTTGAAGCTGGACCCTCCTTGTCACATACATGTATATATATATATATACATATTTTAGTTGTACATTGCAAACATTTACAAACATGCTTTCTATATATTATTTTTAAAGGTATTTTTCTACGGGAGGCTCTCACGAAGCAGGTCAACCCTGAAATGGCTCCTGCCCCCCCTCAGTGACGGTTACAAATGACTTGTTGCTGTACCATGACGTATGTTTGGTTGGACTTCCTCATCCTTGCTTGCCCCATCTACTGTCCGCGGCTTTCGGAACGGTTTGTCCTCATCCTTGTCTTTGGGACCCCCCGAGTTTGTTTTTCACTCAAACTGGGCTTTGCAGTGGTCTCCCTAGCGCGCCCAGGCATGTTTGACATGCTACCCCTTGTCGGGCGGGAGGGGCCCTGACAAAGAATGTACATTCCTTCCACATCGAGTGTCCATTCCGTTTGCAACTGAGCGGTTTTTTCCTCCAGAGAGCCATCGAATTTAAGAGCATTAAATCATCAGTCTGACCGGCGCTGAACGTTGCGATCCTGGATTTGTTTGTGTTTGCAACGTTCAGACCTGTTTGCAACGTTGAGTCAGTTCATGGGATACACTAGACATATACTGATACCAGACAATACTAGACATGAAAAGGATGAAACTAATCTAAAAGAACCTCTCCTTGTTGAATCAAGCCTCAAGAGTGTTGAAGGCTGTGACGTCATCCCATGTCCCTTGTAGAAGGGCCTCCCCGTTACGCCGTGCTCCTGAGGACTCTGTCATCTTTGCTCAGCATGTGCCTTGGTTTGAATGAGAGCCAGTGGCATCAGGCAAGACACGCACTACTAGTAGGGAAAAGTACGTACTGAATGCACCACCTCCCTTGAGGCCTAAGCTAAATATTGCCTGAGTAAACCAAGTAAATCGACACCTATGCAACGGTGTGTGTTGGCGTGTGGCCGTCCAAGGCCCAAAAGGAATTGCTCAATGAAATTCCGTTGCTCTCCAAGTTCCATAAGCTCAAAATGCCAACGGTGAACATCTCAAAAGTTGAACCGCGAATGCAGCGAATGCATGCGAATGCCTGTATGCCAAAATGAGGACCCGATGATTTGGGCCAAAGATTTTGTTCAGGGACCTGCAAGCAGGGATCAACAATGTAGGACCAGCTGCACTTAGATGCCCAGGTGCGGTCAATTGCAGGCAAATTTGCAGATTGCGCTGCATGATCGTGTTCGTTGGCTCCGAGAGCTCCCTGCTAAAGATTTACCGTAGCAGAACCCGCGAATACTCATGTGAAAGACCTCCACGAGGTCTTTCACACTGTCGGTGATTTTTGGATCATGGATTGATCCATATCACCTGGTAGTCTTATCAGACCCCGCTCTTAAAACTCGTGCGAGTACTCGGGCCGCTGGTTTTGATTCCCACGAAGCATTTGTGACCTGACCTGGCAGGTTCAGCTTCTTGATGGTCGCGCTGAAAATGGAGACGAACCGTTCCTGCAAGGGAGTCTCCATGAAGATGATGGAGCAGCTTGGTGAGTGACGACTTACTTATGACCTTTTTTGGACATACCCTCAAGTAGCCAAACGTGAAAGCTGCACCAAGTTGCAGTCTCTTCTACGGAACTCATGGGGGCTTAGCCAAGCTTTTGTTTAGCTGAGGGCCGAAGGCATCCCACTTCATCCACTCTGTGACTCTGTGGGTTTGGACTTGGAGGCATCGTATATTATACAATTGTGTTAACTCTCCCAAACAACCCCGGCGCTTGCCCATCAAAGGGTCCCAACGTGGATTCTCCCCGCCACGTGATGAGAGAGTGTGTATCGATGAGCACCACTACGTTGTAAGACAACGACCCTAGTAACGACTCTTTTTATATTCGGTTGGAGGCCATTGCTCTTAGGTTAAAGGCCATGGCCCTTAGATTGGAGGCCCTACAAACATGTCTATATCTCATATCGTCTCTATGGGTTTCATGATCTACCTGCAGTTGGCTCATAACTCAGGGTCCTAAGCACCCGTCGGACCTCCACAGGGACCCGTTCTATGAGTTTTTGTTCCCGTTAGCTAAACTTCATTTGGTCCTTGGAAGGTTTTGGTGGAAGTATTGGACAATGAGTCACGTCCATATATTTGTCTCAGGGTTGGGAGCTTTGTTTGGCCTTTGAATTGCCATAGGCTTCTTCCAGAGAGCCCCCCCCCCGCGCGCAGGACATCCAATCTTCTCAGGATCCACTCGAAAGTCATGCCTGAATCTCCCACTGTTCATTTAGCTCGTGTTGACAACGCTTCGCGGGACTCCTGGGGGTGTCCCGTCCAATCTTGGTAGAGCCCATTGAAACCATACAGAAGGCAATTTGACAAAGCCAAACCAACTCCAAGTAGTCAAAGCACCTCCATCACCTGTGGACATGTAGGGAGAGACATGCTAGCAGGCATGATGTCATACCCAGAGGTGCCTGCTTCTTCGTCAAAGCAACTCCAAGCAACCCGGTGAAGCGACTAGGTGCTACTTGGTGATCTTCTTCTTCCGGCTTTGTGCGATCATTCCCTTTGAGGGCTACTTACCGTTCGACAAGCCACTTGGGTGCAAGTGTTGTCGCCTCGAACTGTGGTGGTTGGGGTAAGATGTGTGCATCAATGAGGATCTTCCCCGACTCGGGGGAACCCAATTGAAAAGAGAGCTTGGAAGGCTGCCCATGGATGCCCATGGTTCATATAGAGCCCCGGGGCCTGTGGTCGCATCATATCAAACAAGCACTAGCTGGGGGGTCCATAGTCACTACGCACAAGAACATTTGATGAAAGTAAGTTAGTTGCGGCTCTCCGGATCCTTTTGCCCAACAAAATGCAGGACAACTTGTTTCATGTTGCTTTTGTGACTTTGTTTCCGGGTGCCATTTATTATATAGTTCCTTGCGCGTGAATGAACATCATGTGGGCAGTTCATAGGCTATACAGCCTTAGTGCTGAAAGTGCAGGGCATGACACGGAGCCTGTTAGCTTGTGGGGAAGGCTATGTGGTAACTAAACTCCAACACAACCCGCTTCAACTGTTGGAAGGCTCCAGTGCCTGAGCCACGAAGCACGTGACTAGCTCAGAAAAACCTTCCAAGAGTTGGTCTGAACGCGTGGAAATCGATATTCAACCCCCTTCCCCCCCTCATGAGGAAGAACAGACTCCAAACTTATGGCCCATTGCCTGAAGCAGCCCTCCCCAACAAGAAAAAACACCAAACCCTTCCCAGACCCGGTGCGCCCCGACCCCGACACCCGCCTCACCTGCCGGTTACGGCGGACCTTCTTCTGCAGGTCGGGCGATTGGTTCTATCAGACCTGCGAGGCCAAACGGTGCGAGGAGACGGACCGAGCGAGCCGCCCGTGGTGGGCACTTCCGAAGCACCGGGAGTGGAAGGGTCAGCTGTGCTGCTTTGTGGGAGCCATGGTCCCACCGAAAACAGTGGTGGGACCACTTCCAAATACTTGAACAGATTCGAAGGGTGACGGGTGGAGAACATCATCATAGTGCAGAGGGACTTTCTCAACTGCAGGGCATGGCAGTGCAGGTAATGCAAATGTTCCGTGCAACTATTTGCATTAAGGTTCATTAAAGCAGAAGATTGCGGGACATTTGGAAGGTCTTTCGCAAAGGGTCAGAAAGAAAGGCGCCAAATTGACTTGCAAGTGCCAAAGAGCTCCTCGTGCGTTATGCCACGCTCCTCTTTCTGGTCCAGGCCTTGGGCTTTTGTTTGGCCGGAACGCCGGGGACCTCAGTGGACGACTGTGATATCACCCCCCCCGTGGTGACCAGTTTTCTCCAGACTCAGACGTGACAACATGAGCATGTGTTTTTTTGATGCATGTTGGACCATCATTGTGGAGTGCGACCAATGGCGCCAAGGATCGTATATTTCTGTCGCATCAAGTATGCGGCGACTTACGACCCTGCAGCTTGGCCTCCTGAGCCATAGGAAATCATTTGGGAGTCCTTTATCTCTACAATTGGAGGACGCACCACTGGTGCAGTGACCGACGGTGACGACTGTGAGAAGCCTCCATCTCGTGCTGATGGTTCCATAGATGGCCTTTCACTATTGGGTGGTTGATTGACTGCAATAGCGAGGATAAAATCTCAAATGAACAGCCAATCGGCATATATATGATGGATTATGATGGTATGGTATATGGTACCAAACCGACCCCCTCGATGATTCTCAAGGTCGGACATCACCGGGTGGTTCCCTATATAATGGCGGTCTTGCACATAGAATATTATTCATTAAATCGGGAACTCAAAGACGTGCACGTCAAAAGGGTGGGTGAGATTTTGGAAAATCAGGTGCAGATAGAATATCAGGATGCAGATAGAATATTGATAATATGCCGATGTGACACCCGTAACATTTGGCCCTCAACTTCAGCACTCTATTTTATCTAGATGGCCATGGAGTGCTTCAACGATCACTATGAAACTCTCCAGATTGATCCACTTCCAGGGAGCGGATGGAAGCCCATCCAGAGGTGTATGCTCCTGGCAAGAGTTGACAGCCAGTCCTTGTTAGAAGGGTTCAACAAGGTCAGGCAGCAATTCGAATTGGATCAGTCTGCAAACGGTTTGGAGAAGCTCAAGGATGCTTGGGCAGTGCTTGGTGACAATACCAAGCGCCTTGAGTTCAATC